ATCATCATCATCATCATCATCATCATCATCATCATCATCATCATCATCATCATCATCATCATCATCATCATCATCATCGTCATCATCATCTTTATCATCATCCTCATCACCAGCATCATCACCATCATGATCATGATCATCATCATCATCATCATCATCATCATCATCATCATCATCATCATCATCATCATCATCATCATCCCTGTCCTCCTGCTCGACGTCATCATCACCACAATTATTAATTCTTGTAGTAGAAGTAGCAGTAACAGTAACAGTAGCAACAACCGTAGCAAAAGTTGTCAATAGACGACATCACTAACGACAACAGCAACAAAAACAAGGCAACACGACAACAAAAAGCAAATAAACCCACAAAAACCCACAGCAACAACAAAAATATAAAAAAGCTACACATTCAAAATTGTCAAAATAACCCCCCCCCCCCAAAAAAAAAGGAAAAAAAAGTAGAAACAAACCCAACACAATAACAACAACAACGTATGCAGCAAACAACGCAAATAGGGAATGTAATATTGCAAAACAGTAATATTTACTAATGATATAACACCCAAAATTCAGATAACAATTTTGTAAAGTTTAAAAATAAACCAACAAATTGAACAACAACAACAACAACAACAAAAACAACAACATCAACAAAAATAACAACAACAACAACAACAACAACAGCAATCACACTAAATACTGCTTGAGTAGAAAAAAGTATCATCAACATCCCCACAAATCCCGACACAGATGCAAACAACTCAAGTCTAGCTACTGGAGGGGGAAAAGAACTAGATTCTAGAAGCATGCAAACAAATTTAGACAGAATAAAACTAAATTCTGCAATATTGCTTTCGTACCCAGTGTGGTGCAAGAAATCTCAGATGAATTCCTGTAACTAACGTTTGTGACTGTATTACAAGCAGAAATCACGACCATAAACTCTTTTGTAAGGAGAGTTCGTCGCCTCCGAAACACAAAACAGAACAAAGAGGGTACCGTACGGCTTATGCATATTGTGATATGTAAAAAGTCAAAGAGATATTGGCATAACGTTGGGGTAGTTTTCAAAATGCACAAGTCCAGAATTTGTCGAATTTCGGTTGTTGGTTTTTTTGGCCTTCTTTCATTTCAGAAAGGGGATTTCCCCAGCCTGTACATAAAAACCAAGAAGCTTTTTCCCCCAGTAGAACTACTCTGTTAACTATACAATCAACGCACACTAACACCCATAGCATCTGAGAGAAGCGAAAAATCATTACTTTGTCTATCCTGAAAATTCTGTGTATAAGGATAGCATCGACCGAAAGTCTCACATTAATTTTTACGAAACATACATGATTCTTGTCCCTTTTTTCCTATGTCGATATGTTAATTAATGAAAGTGTACAAATATTTACCCCGCACTAACGTCTGGCAGACTGAATTTGACCTCTTGACGCTGCCAGTTGAGCTAAGGATTCAGCTTGAAAAAGGAAGAGAGTTTTGGTTTCGAGATGCAGTTCTCACAGAGATCTTTTCACGGTTCCTCGACTGACACCAGCTTTCTCCCTTCTCGTTTAATCCAACCGGTTGAGGCGGATTTTATATATATACATGATGGATACATAAATTATAAATAATGTATTCAGTTTGCCTCGAAGTGGTACTTCCAAATGCCCAATGAGCCGCGGGCCCGACGATGTGTCCTTGGGAAAGGCATTCTATACAAATTTTCCTCACTTCATCCAGGTGGGAATAGGTACCCGGCTATAGACAGGGAAAGATCTGGTCTGTATGTTAGTGTTTTAGCGCCTATAAATGACTGCTTGCACTGTATGCTCCCCAGGAAGTTGAAGTTGTTGCAGAATGCTCTCAGGTCTGCTGGGGTAATAGTATAGATTGTGAAGTGCATAGCGCTTGCTGTTGAGCAGGGATTTGCGCTACATATTATTATTATTATTATATCTGACATACTATATCATTTA